GGAGTGGCTGGTCCAGAGGAAAAAGAGGTTTGGAGGCCAGCAAGGCAAAGCGCGACCTGGAAAGGTGCAGGAGCTCCACGTGCCGGCCATCAAAAAGCAACCGCAGAGGAGAAAACAGGAGAAGAAATCCCAGAGGGAGGAATTAAGACATAACAGGCTCTGCAAGAAGGAAGGATTGATGTACAATAGTATAGTATAAAGGCGATCGTAATCAGAATAGTAACTAAGTATAGAGGTCATTGTAATAGTGATAGGAATAGGAATAGGATGGGAGTAATAGTAGTAGACAGAGAGTATAGAATAGAGTAATAGGAAGCACTCACATACATATTTTTAGAAGTTCTACACCTCACTTTCATAAAATACCTTTGTTTTCCAAAACAAAAAGTCTCCCCGTCCCTTATGGGGAGATACAGAAGAAACTCCCTGGTCCGGGGTCCAGCCTCTGTGTCTCTCTTGAGTCTGGGTCAATCTGACGAGGTAAACCGGACCAGGGGCACCCTCCCGCTGCCCAGCCATTTCCTCGGCTACCCCGAAGCAGAGCAGGGCCCTCCAGGATCCCGCCTGCCTCTCTCTGCCCGCGAGCGGCGAGCAGGACCCTAGAGCGGCAGGGACCGCGGGGCGGGGGGGGGGCTGGCTCCAGCCCTGCCCAGGGGGTCTGTGGAAGCAGCCTTGGCAGTTCATCTGGCTGCTGCTCCTCATTCTAGTCTGAGCGTCCTCCTCCCGTGTAATCCATGGAAACGGCATGCGGCGGGTACATGAGAGTGGGCGGAAAACATCCGTGCCCTCTCATCCAGGGAACTTAAGGCCTGCCAAACGGGAGGGTGAGAGACTCGCTCCCTTCTCCAGGAGAAAACAAACATGAGAAACCAGGTCAGGATTTCTGCCCTGCCAGCACAGCAGCAACCATCAGTCTTGCTGCAAAACGGCATACATCGTGCGTGGCCCCACCGAAGGACAGCCAGCGCTCTCTGGGACAGGAATGAGCTCCTGCTACTTTTCCAGGTGGACCCTCCATTCAGGAGCTCCTGGGGCGAGGAAATGACTCCCCAGGAGCCACCCCAGGGACAGAGCTGCAGCCGAGGAGCCCAGGGTGCTCCTGCTGGGATTGGCGCCAGGCTCGAGGTGGGCAGTGCTCCTGGGGGGGCCGGGGGGGGGGGCCAAGAATGGCTGTCAGAATGATGTGGGCCGTGCTTGAAGGTCCTCTGCTTGGCCCACCAACCAGGAGAGGCCTCCCAGCCCTCCCG